TGCCGTTTATATAAATATTTTGGTGCAAAGTGATTATACAGATCACTTCCAATTCCAAAATTTGCTGATTTTTGCATGAACCGGGCTGATTCTGGGCCCAGATTCCATTTCTCATTTTGCTACCAATTTATAGTGCATATAACAAAAATTCAACGTAAAATGGAAACAAAATCAGGTTTTGGACCGTCCTCTTAAAAAACTTTAAAACTGCAATTTTTTAAACATACAAAAAAGATTTTTTTTAATCAAATATTTTATTCACTTTCTGGCTAAAGTTTTAAAAATCAACGAATTTGGTTAAAACCTTTTTAATTGCCACTTGAACTCGGTGATACAAGTTTTACAGTCAGTGCTAAGCATTCTGTGGCGTAGTCTCGAGCATAATGCATTAACTAATCAATATTATATTTTACAGTCAATAAAATGAACAACGCATTGCATTCTGTGCTAAGCCTAAGTGCCACAAAATACAGGTTTTCTCTCTCTGTGTTTTCAAATGTTAGCCGTTCGATGTAGAATTTGAATGTGCAATGAATGTAAAAATTTTAAAAATTAATAACTGTTTTTGTAATGTAGAACGTCGTTATCGATATCAGTAAAAATTTATCAAAAGCGTGCTTTGGGAATTAGGTCGATATTCGTCCAGCATGGGACTACGCAGCTGTGTGCGTGTGTGTGTGTGTTTGTGTATGGGTGGACGGGGTTGGTGGTACATTAACGATTCGTCCTCCATTTCCATCCATTCACCTGCTACCCTCCCCCTCCCCCTCCTACCCTTCATCCCCTAAACGTTTGTCAGCTGGAACTAAGTTCATTCCTATATCACGATTTCAAAGATCGCTTATTTTAGACTCCACCGACTTTTCGAATGGATTGTGTTGATAATCATTTTTCATACTTAACGTTGGTAGTGAGTAATGTGATCACTTTTCTAAAATAGCTTTGCTTCCAACTCTACTATAGCTATGCAATTCCCTCTTAGGAAGTGAACTTTGTCGGGTCTGGACCAAAGTGGCAACATATAACAATACATCTACATCACTATTAGATTCGTTTGTTGTGTTTGAGGATGAAAGACCGGATCACAAAACAGGGGAACTATTCAACCTAGCTATCAGCCATCAAAGGATCCTCATCGCTAGATATTGAGGATGAATTGGTGTAAACAGCCTCTGTATGGTCAACATCATCAACGCAACTCTAGCTGGGGACATGACCTCAATATGTAGACTGAATCGCTTAGATTGCATCTAGTATCCTGAACAACGTTTCAATCCAATAACTATATGTAGAAGTAGTTTTGATAAGATTATAATTGAGTTTAGGTTTGGCATGCCGTTCTCTTGTGAGCTGTAGGTTATTTTAAATACATACCTACTTGATACTTACTTGTAAGTAAGTTATAAGAAAAGGTTTATGTTTTATAGTAACAAAATCCCAGCCATTCCTCGTAAAATTTACAATTTTACAAATACACAAGATTAAAATGAGACCAGCACCTCATCATTCGCACCTACTATTAGCAGCTACTCCGTCGTCAACGCGTACGAGATAATTTCGTCTTCCATTTCTCCACGTAAATATAGAGCGTCAATCAGATAGTCCATTCTGTCTGGTTATTTATAAGTCGTTTGATCGTTAGTCACCTTGTCGGAGGCCACGTGGCTGACGGCCCAGGTGATATGTCGTGGGTGGTTTGGGATGAAGAGGGGAAGGGGGGTATTTAAAATGCTGTACCCTCATTGCAGTGAGCCTGCAGACTCATTAAATCTTACGGCTAACAGTTAAGTTTGTTCATGAAAAGTACTGATCTTAACTATACTTTTCGTCAACATGTTGACTTTTACCGTAGGAGATCGTTGATTGTTTACTTAATTAAAAACTGGACACAGATGTCCTTGATTATTGGACTCTTATTTAGTAATCTTAGCTAATTATACAGCTGATCTCGATCTGAAACAGCCACACAAGTCATCTCACTCTATTCTACTTCATCCTTAGTTTATATTTGGGGTAAAATACGCTACAGTGGCATCCCCATCTTAATTGATAATAATGATGACAGTCTATGTCATCTATCGTCTGTTGGTGTAAATGTTTTATTTCAAATTGTCTTTACTTGCATTTTCATCAGCTGATTATTTAAATGATTTAAAGTTGTCATCTGCCAATGTTTTTGTTTTAGAATGTTGTTCATTAATTAGAGTTACAAGTTTGTGTTAATATGTATTCAATTATTTCTATGAAATAAGTTTACATCATGGTGTCAGGATATTAGAAGAGTAATAATAACTAATGGAACACCTCTACCAGATCCACTTGACATTTCAGACAAAACAAATGCAGCGGAAAAATTGATGATATTCAAGGTCCAATGGAACAACCATCTAACTTTGGCTGAAGGGTGGGGTGGCTCAAAATGCAGCAAGATAACAAGCAAAAACTTTTAAGATCTATTCCAGTGTCTCATTTGGAGGTAAAAATTGCACCTAATAAATAAAATATGCAATGATAAAGCCAGCTTTGGTGAGATCATTGGTAGAGTAGATGATTATTTTGATAATTCCAAAATCGTTACTTTTGAGCACTTTCTGTTTAAGTACTACCTACACAATCACCAGTTAAGTCTGAAAATGTAACTCCAAAGTTATTTTGGAAAGGTGACTTTCCAAAATAATCTTACCAATTAACATGGAAAGCATTTGGGAATATCTGTACCCAGGAAAGGATGAATGTAGAATGGAGTGAGATGCCTTGTGTAGCTTTAATACTGAGTAAGACGAACTGTTTTAGTAGCAAGGATCATTTATTAAAAGCTCAATGATCCAGAACAGCTGGGTTCTGGGTTGAGTTTTAGAACCATATAAAAGCTACTAACCTTTCTTAGGATCAAATCGGAGATTACGGGAGCACTTCAATTGCTAAAATTCAACAGAATCATTGTAAAACAATATTGCTTGATTTCTTCAAGCTATAACGTTATACAGCTAAACTGATGAACTAGGCTTTTATCATTTAAGATTATATATTTAATTAAATAATGCGTCATAAGAATGTCTACAAATAGAGGTGAAATTGAAAGGTTGATACATAAAAAATGTGTTTTAAAAATTAAAGCGGTACGCAACCAAAATATATTTCTAAGATGTTTTGTACGATAAAACGCCTCAAACTAAAGCAAACTGCTAAGCGCCTAATTAAGGAGAGTGGCCAATAATTTGAAGATAATTTTAACGGGATGGAACCCCTAGAACCACAATCCGTAAGTCCAACAACCTCAAGCTCAGCGGATGAAACAAACCGACCACAGATGTAGGTTCACCATGTGCAGCGGTTGTGCAGAATCTGTTTGTACGAGAAATATAAAAAACACATTTTACAAGTCAAGTCTACAAGTTTTCAAACGCTAATAGTACCGTACACTTCTCGATACAATTATTGATTTGAATTATTTGAATTATTTATTTACAATTTGATTTCTCGATACAAATATTTTTTTATTCTAAAAATATAATTAAATATAGGCCTAGGTAAATTTAAGATATTAGGAAATATAATTAATTCATAACTGGTTACACTTTGCAATGTTTCTAAAAATTTTCAGCGCGAAAAGTCACTATTTTGGCGGCAAATGGAGAGGTGACCGATGAAAGACAGAGTTGTCAGTCTGTTATCAGTGACACGAGTTCTTATCACTTGTCAACCCCTCACAATGGACTCTGGCGCAGTCAGTAGAGATACCGGCGTTGAAAAGTATATACTTTGGAACTGTACAGTTGATAAATTCACACAACTTTTCGGAGCTCATTTCATTTGTTGATAAATTTACACAACTTTATGAGTTTATTTACGTATTGACGGATTTATGATTCAAACCTATGATTCAAACTGATGAGTTCATTTTGTGAGTTGAGAAATTCATAATATCATAGTTCACAGATACGCGATGGATCGTACTTCAAGTTGAATTTTCAATTAATAAACTCGAATCTTAGATTGTTTAGTAGCTCTATCAAATCATTGAACCGTATTCGATTGATAAACTGCAATCAAAAGTTTGAATTTTATCAGCCACTATCTAATTCAGCTACGAAATTCCAAGTTAAATTTGCAAACTACGATTCAAGTTTGGTTAGTAAATGCTAAGCAAAAAGTTGATTTATATTCAATTGATGTCTATTATAATTAGGGGTTTGAGTGATCAGCGACTATTATTCTTTGTGATAAACAGCACAATGTTAGATTACTATTGTTGATCTAAGATTGAACCAAAGATTACATAAGCTACTGAACTAAGATCTAAGTTTCACTTACAACTGATAAGCGTACCGTTCCTTCTGTCTGTGATTGATAATCTACTATCAAAACCAGGTTTGTAAGTGATCAGTGAGGTCTGCACCGCAGATAACAGCTGATTGTTTGATGTTGCTCAGAGAGCCAACCCGGTAACCAGATTACGAGGGTTCAGATGTTTGATATAGATGTTTGTTTGGCGTTAGGTCAACCTACTGCCTTTTGTGTGGTCCCTGTGGTTGGGAAAACGGTTTAACATCTATCTGAATTTTAAGTATGTAGACTTTTCAATTTTGATTGATGATAGAATTGCTTTATCTTAGCAATCTGAAAATAACATCCTTGGATCGGCTTTGAAGTTGAAAATTCGTCAATTTGTTGACATGAGGAAAATTTTAAAATTAAATGTATCATACAGGTGATTTTGTCTTGACGATGAAAATCACATATGGCCTACACATAGTTCTAAAATAAAAAATAATAAAAATGTAAATGACAGTAAAACCGTGAATATGAAAAGACCTTGGAAACATGTACTTTCTGGACATACCCTGTACCATGAATACTAGAAAATACCCCTGTTCTATAAACAACATAAACTCATTTTCCCGGCAGTTAACCCAAAGAATTACCCTAAAACAGTAAAAATTACATAAGAATTGTGTATATCCATTTTTACTTAACTCTAATGGTTTGTGTATTTTCAGATGGCAGTATCTCAGAGCTAGTCCAACACCTGCAAACATTGCTAGAGGCAGCAAAATACAGGTAAGTCCTCAATCTATTTATTACATGCTACATTTGTAGTAATGGAATCATTAACTTTGGTTACCTTAATATTATTTAGATGAATTAATACCGTATTAGGAAATTTTAAGAAGAAAAAACAGTCAAATCACCTTAGTGTACTTATATTAAATCTATCGTCTTTTATTTGGGGTTTGGTACTATGAGAGTTGTTGGGGGCTTAAAAGGTTCCAGATTACAATGATTAAAAATTCTGCGTACAAGAAATTTTGTGGTATTTTACAGTAGTGTACTCATTTAAGCTCAATCTAACCTTTTTAGTCCTAAGCTTGCTACAAGGTCCCGGGTTCGATCCCCGCCAAGTCACCAATGGATTTTATCTAAGTGATAATGCCGCAACCCCTAGGTCTAGCCTGAAGTAATGTGAAAAACAATCCCTGGCTCGTGCCTAGCGTCCTATGAAAAAATTAAAAAATGGAATTGTCTGACCTTGGTATATTGTGGCCAAATTGAGAACTGAGATTTAAACCCAAACTTAAGTATTGAAATTATTAAAGTATTTTATATACGTATTCAAATTATGGATCTTAAATATTTTGATACGAACACTAAAGAATTTTGTGAATAAAAAATTAGCATTCACACAAGTAGCTTATAATGGATTTTTTAACGTAATATTATAAAAGAAAACTGTATTAACCCCTATTATAGTGAATGATTTCACATAAGAACTATTATTGTTATTATTTTAATTATTTGTATAACTGTTCAGTTAGTAAACGTTAAAATGACAATTAAAATTAATAACAATGAGTATCGTTATAAGAGGAGAAACAAAATGCCGTCAAGGCGTTAAAGAAGATTAATTCAGCAATTGTACAAATGATGGCAGTTATCTTTTTATTCATCTTCCTTGTAATCTTTCCGATTGTTTATTCAATGCCATTTTGTTCGACGGTTTATGTAAATTATAATGGCTCAACCTTTGTTGCTTCTTGTAGCTGATCTTTCTTTATCGATTTATTTTTTAAGGTTTAACCTGGCTTAAACTCGTGTTTGCCTCTGGTGGGAAAATATTCAGATTCAATCACTTTGCATTTTCAGCCCCATCTTGTCTTCATCGTCCTATTGTTAGGGTCTACCTCTTATTTTCCATGTATTTCACATTTACTATCTAATCAGTAATAACTTACAAGTATTTGTCTGCGCCAGTGTCATTTTAAGAATGTGTTTGTTAATACACGTTTAGAAAAGCGTTACAAACTTCTTAAATATTTGTGGGAATGTCGGAAGTCAAATCCCCTTCCTTTCACACCAATGTGCGAGGCACTACCACGAGATTCAACACACTGGTTTAACCTCGGTTTTAAAGAGTCTTATACGTCAATCAATTTGTATGTTTGAAAAAACTATCATCTAGCTCTTCGAGAAGAGAGGTTTTCAATGCAAAGAAAACTCTCTTTGCTAAAGACATATTTTTGTTCTTTGTAGATAGGCCTTTCGCTCGAAGTGGTATCCTTACCTCCACATAACATAACAAAGTTATTGGTGATTTGCGGGTCTTGAACTATGATCTAGAACAGAAAGTCCACTCTACAACTAGTCTATCCAATTTTGGAAATAAAAACAATTCGAGCTACTAAAATTGTTAACGATATACATTTATTGCTATAGAACATTTTAGGTGCGCCACTGAAAATGCATCAAACAAAAACAAATGTATATTTTAGTCCCCAAAAGAGTCGTAGTAGGGAAAATAAAATGGAAAAATATACCTCCAATAGCTAACTCTACGTAAAGGTTTATTATGCGGTGTTCTTTTTTAGTAAAAACTCTGATACAGCTGTTAATATATGTGTATGTTTTTGTATCCAAAGTCAAGGGTAGATACTAAATGACTCATTGTTAGGTAAACGTACAGTGTGTGACGCAACCACTCGTGTGTTTCATTATATTTCCTCTGAAAAAACGTAAATGTACGAGATGTGAAGTTCAAAGTTCACATTCCACTTGTCACTGATAAATGATACATTACGTTCTACCTTTCTTTGTAATGTCAACCGAATGTATTTGAATACTCGTTTTTGCAATGTACAAAAATGTATTATGTAGGCCTACTCTTATATCTGTTGTCACGCTTGTTCATAGGATTTCCTGTAACGTTTTAGGCTCATTAGGATTTCATTATCTAGTTTTGCTTTTTTAAAGGGGGGGGGGAGGGTAGATTAGTGGAGTTCATGTATTATTAGATTTATTACTTAACAATTAAACTTTATAACATGACTATTTAGCATGTGTAATGTGATGAATCCTTTGTCACCTAACGGTTTAAGAGTTTGTTGTTTACAAAATCTAATTAAAAAATGTTATTTTGGCTTTATGAGGTAAAAATTGGGTTTTCCCATTTTCAAACGCCCAAACATAAAATTTCTCAATTTCTTTGAAACGTTTGATTTTTCAGGGTGTAGTAAGACAACAATAAGTTAATATAATAAACTGTTCTAAATACAAACAACGATCATTTATGTTTCGAATTCGTAATGTCCTCTTTTAACGGCTTGTATGTAAGCAGGATCCCAATATTTTCCCAGAACGCTCCGTCTTTTCTTTTCCCTCACAACTTGACTAATCCCTAAGTTAAAGCTGTTGCTCGGAAACACTTCGTTGAGCTGTTTCTCAAACAAAGAGTTCACCCAAACTTATTTTGATCACTTACGGTTGTATTACATATATATTTATATTATATAATAGTATTTTTGATAAAAGTACAGTCTAGTGTTCATAATTTCTTTACTTATTAAATATTAAATTTTTATTTTGCTTGGACCTTTTTAATTTTGCAGTAATAGTTTTCTGCCTTCAAAGTATTACTTTGTTTTATTGTGAAATTTAATCTTCCACGTAACGTATTAAGAGCTAAAAACCAGGGGTTGTTAAGGGTTGGAGTAAAATTTTTTTTCCAAATGTTATAAAAATAGCTGAATTATTAGTGACAGCTAAATTAATCGATCGAACTATCGAGTCATTGAATATTTTGATTTAGTGGTTATTTATTTCCAGGTACACAAAGAGTCTTTATGATGAATTAATGAAAGTAAAATAAAAAATACAATATTAAGATACCGATTTTTCAACTGAAGTATTGTGACTCATTGACAGTTTGTGATAAAAGCTCACCAGTTAAAACGAGGGTTTCTAAAATGAATTGTTCCCAGATAAAATCAACGATCAAATAGTCGTCAAGTCATTGATGATGTTGATTCAGTGAGTATTTGTTTAGTTACAATCACAACAGCCAACAATCATTATGTGGATATTGATGAACTCAAACCTCAGTCGATACTTTATGTTGACCGTTTTTAAACACATTTCAGAGTTTATGAAATTAGTTACTTATGGCTTACTTTTTAAAGAATCTATAATAGAAATGAATATTTTCTTCCCAGTCCTTGTGAGATGACAACAAAATATACACAGATTATATTAAACTGTAAAAACCCAAATTCTAACAAGCAACATGATGTAATGTTATAATCATGTAATCTAACATTTGTAATAAACAACATTAACAACGTTTTGACTGAATTACCAATTTATTCTTTATATTTTAAGGTAAATGTGTGTAAGTAGTGTGGGAATAATTTTGTTTCATATATTATGTGCCCTAGCACATACAAAAATTAAGAATTTACTACTGGTGGAATGCTTATGGATCTCTTTACCTTGGCTCATAGCAATATGAACATGACAATATCACGCAGACGTAGGTGTAATCCTACGAGACCTAACCTGGTTTATCCGACGATTTACATTACAAAACACCGCTCTTCTCACCACTTGATCTTAAACTTAGCTAAAAACACTTAACAGGAATATTATTTGATCGTTCACTAATTCTACTGTATTCTTAACCCGTTTATTTATATACAACTAGCGAACCTAATACTAGGCAAATCTCCAATTATTTTATAACATGAATGTATTTGTTTCTATTTGTTAATCCCTACCGTGGAAAAGGTTGTCTTCAGTTGTCATACGAAGTAGAATTTTGTTAAACAAAACTTTAAACAACCGATTCAACGACATTTTACTTTCAAAAAATTTAACTAAACTATTAAATCATTTAATTGAATGGTCAAGAAAACTTTATATAAATTGCATTTGCGTTTATTTTTATTTAAACCCCACATTTCATACTGTGGTATAGTTATTTTTCTATTGGAAAGTAAGTAAAAACGTACTATAACTAGAACTACTGTACTAACTATAACTTTTAAAATCATATAAATTATAAAACACAAACACCGACGTTATGTTTCGTTCTAAAAGATTTTACTTCATAATTTACTAAGACGATAATCACACACTAATGAGTACAAAAAGAGAAAGACGTTTGTGTAGAGATTGCCTCGAGATACATGAAAGTTGCCACAAATGAGGCTCTTGGAGATTACTGCGAGCAAATTTGGCGGGAAATATCACATTTGAGCGCGAAAACCGGAGAGATTGATGTTCTTAATATTGCTGCGAGATCAAACCGGGAGGAAACATATCAGTGAACTCGCATATCACGGGAATAAGCATATCAGACAATTTGAAATAGGCAATGCTGCATTTATATCAATGAAAATCACTTAGGTGAATATTTCCAAGTATGTAAAAAGAACCATAATATTCTCGTTAGTATCTTTAACTTGTTTTAGTGATAAAATACACACATTTAACACTAACAAATACATATATAAGACACACATAGTTTATATTCACAAAATATCTAATATAATTCAAAAATGAAACAGTGATTACAAACGGTATCTGTGCCACAACCAATCATATGATAAAGTACCCTACTCTGGTGCTCTATTGAATTGTCATCAAGCAAATTATCACTCGATCCAGAGCAATAACTGAAGATCTATTTGATTTCGACACTAATACTGTTTGTCATTTGTGGAAATAATTCATAACTTACTGAGTAACATTACAATTTATTTTTCCTACAGTTACCCGACAAAGTTGGC